AATAGAATGAGACGGCAACTTATTTTCCCAAACAAGGAGCAAGGGTGGTATCATGGAATGTTTTATAGCAACTTTTGGTTATTCACAGTTTTTAAAAAATTAACTAGTTATATTCACAGACAGTGTTATCCACCTCTTATACCCTTCCAAAGATGTTCTAATGCATGTATATGCAAAAGAATATATGAAACAGTCATTCGTCTTAACATACAGGATAATTATCTATCTATCTATCTATCTATCTATCTATCTATCTATCTATCACTGGATTAAAAACAAATAGAAGCTTAGGGGCTGGGGATTTAGCTCAGCGGCACAGCGCCTGCCTGGCAAGCTCAAGGTTGTGAGTTTCATTCCCGGTCCTGGAAAAAAACCAAAAGAAAAAAAAAAAGGGACAAATAGAAGCTTAGTTCATTTCACAATTAATATTTTACTAAGCATACCCTTGGTGTGGTGCACACAATGCTGGGCACTCACTTTGTTTCAAATCTTTTACCTACACTATCTCATTTAGTCCTCACAATTTTACAAGTCAAGGCAACCATGCTGCCCTTCTAAATCTGTAGATTAGGAGACTAAGGATCACAGATCCTAAATATTTTATGGAAGGTCTCAGGGCTAAAAGCGACTGAAATACCCTGCACTTTATTTTGCTTTTCACTGATATGATTTTTGCCATGGTCCTTCTACACTACACTTGGGTCAACCTGTAATTAATTATTTAAAATGCAAAAAAAAAAAAAAGCTAAACTTCTCTGAGGTCATCAATGCTGCACTATCAGGTGAGATGAAGAGTGGAAGCAAGGACTGAATTTATTTTATGGACAAATCTATCTTAATCCCACATTACACAACTGAAAATTTGTACTTTAGGATGATAGCAGCCAGCTGTGCATCTCAAGAGCCGCACCTGGGGGTATACAAGAAGCAATCTTCACGTTTACTGACTTGGTAGGCTAACAACAAGATGTGTGCACATGTGCAAAGGTGTCAAACGGGGATTTTTACCCACATTTATGCTCCATCTAACAGGTTTTGCATATGTTTACCTGAGCATCACAGAGGGTAAAATATACCCACACCATTCTTCTGTTATGTAAACATGTACTTTATCACAATGGAATGTGGGGTTATTTTGGATTTTTCTGGTAGAAATGGCTTAATTCACTACAATGGCACATGAAAAAGACAGATTTCCAAGATTTGGAGGGGGTCAAAAGTGAATCATCAGACCACTGATGCATGAAAGATGAAGATGATAATGACTTTGACATTAGGCATATGAACCAAAGTTCCTGTGACAGTGAAATGGAACAAGAATCCACCAATATAAACACAGGGAATGTAAATCTCCTTGATTTAGATGACAAAGAACACAGCGATGTGACTAGTTGAAATGCTACAAAATAGTCATGCAACCAAATGGAACAACCCAGTTTTAGAACTAGGTCCAAAAATATAGTGAGGATCTTGGCAGGGGTGAAACCTATTGGACAGAACACCAGTACTGCCATTCAATGCTGGAAATTGTCTGTAACTAATAAAATGCTAAAGATGTTGTGAAGTACACAAATGCTAAAATACAAGTAAAATGTTCTGTATGCACTGACAGCTATACTCAGAAATGTACTTATTATGACACTTCACTAGCTGAACTGAAGTAATTCATAAGTCTGCTGTACTTCACAGGGCTTTTTCATGGTCATTGCAGGAATGTAAAAGACTTATGAAAAAGTGATGGGTGTGCGCTTGAGGTTTGTAGAATAACAATGACACCAGGAACACTTGGTTTCTTTCAAAATTGCCTGAGGTTTGATGATAAAACTACCCACCAAGAAAGAAAAAGAACTGATAATCTGGCTGCTACCTGCTCGTTGTTGGAGAGATTTGTGGGTAACTGTCAGGCAATTTACACACCATCTGAATACATAACTATAGATGAACATCTTGCAGCATTTTATGGTCGCTGTGGCTTCAGGCAGTATATTCCCAAAAAACCTTCAAAATATGGCATAAAAACTTATGCCCTTGTGGATGTGAAGATTTACTATGCTTTGAAGTTAGAACCCAGTCACCAGGTTGAGTTCTAAATTGAACTATACTACTAAACTAAATGATGTTGTGAACAGACTTACCGCGCCCATCTCCCAAACTAATCGGCATGTGACATTTGACAACTGGTTTACCAATTCCCAACTGAGGTTACACTTGCTAACAGAGCACACCTTGACAATTCCAAATAAAACGTTGCAATTTCAAAACAGAGAATTGTATAGTACAGTCTTTGGATTTCCGAAAGATATAACACTGGTCTTACATATGGCAAAGAAAAACAAAATGGTACTGAGTGCACCATGATGGAAATATTGATAGGGAAACCTCAACAGAACAGAAGCCTGAGATGGTAACTTTTTATAACAAAACCAAAGGCAAAGTAGATGTTATTGATGAGTTATGCAGCACATGCTGGCCAATAGTTGTGTTTTACTTGAGTCTAAACATATGTGGCATAAATAGTTTGATAGTTTACAAAGAAAATAACAAGTGCTGAGTATCACAGAAATTTTCTTAGAGGGACTGGGACTGGACTTCATAAGAGATCATTTACAGCTGAGGAAAAATAAAATGTTTCTGCCCAGGGAACTATGCAAAAAAATTGTGGAACACGCTGGTGAGCTGACAGGCGAACAGGCAGGCACAGTATCACAAAGACCTGCTATGACAACGGGCAAACCAAAAAGATATCAACTGTGCTCTAAAGGAAATGACAGGAAAACGAAACATACCCGCTATCCATGTAAGTGATATTTGCATATAGAATACGCAGTTTTCATGTGTGAAGACTGCCTTGGGTGTCACAGTTGAAGCAAAGATTATTTCTGTGGTAGACTTTAGTTTGCATGTATATTGAAGTTCACATAGGTTTTTATTTCTGATGCTATCTTTTAAGTTTTCTAAGCAGATAAACAGCTGATGTGAAAATGTTGTTGACCATTCTAAGCACTCGTACATATTTGGTATTTTATTTTATTGATATCTATTTTTCGGCTAAATACACAATACAGTATGAAGCTCCTGACAAAACAGGAAGACAAGAGAGGTGACAAGAATGGCCTGCCACATAGGAAAGGAAACCTGCTGACATGTGCTGTCAGTGAAAGTGAGATGTGTGTATGAAACATTCAGTTGTCATGTGTGAAGACTGCTTTTGGTGTGACAACTGAAGCAAAGATTATTTTTGTTGTAGAGTTCTATTGGTATTTTCATTATAGTTCATATAGGAATTTATTTCTGTTATTTTTTAGACAGTTGAGGCTGAAAATTTTGATGCTTTTTTTAATAAACACTCAATAAATACTAAAAATTCAGTATTTTTAAATTTTTTTCCTGTTAAGTACTCATTGTTTGATATAACTCATAAAATTAAAATAAGCAATTCATCAATAGAGATATTCTATAGAATAAACACGGCTACTGCCCATAATAATGCGCCTAGGGGTGATGCCCCGGCGGCCTGCTGACAGAGAGCCTTCTTTTTTCAGGAAAACAGATCTAAGAAACTGTGACCCTGGGACCCAAAAACCAAACCCCAATCAGCTACGGGAAGTACTGATGAGGAACTGTAACACCAGTTTCCACATTTTATGTGTTTATACAAGAAGGGGCTCCCGTCTCCTCACTGATGGAGATTTTATGGATCGCCTCCCTCAGCAAGCTGCTCGACGAGGAAGACCAGGCGACAGCACCCGGGCTTTCGCAGGAAGAGGCAGTGGTCCCAGGAGCCTCAGCGCCAGCTGCATCTCCTCTCCAACAGCCTCTGCGAACTTCGCGGCCGCGGCCCACACCCCTCTCCAGGTTCCTTTACTCACCTTCTTGATATTGGATTTGGAGGCAGGATGAAAGTCCTTTTTGCACATGAAGTTGGCGAAGGATTTCCCCATCTTGGAGTCTCAGCGGCAGAAGGCAGCGGCTAGGTCTGCAAGAAACGTAAACAAACTCTGCCCCCTAACCGGAACTGAGCCTCCGGCGGCTGCGGGGAACTTCCGGGATCAAAGGTGACAGCTTCCGGCAAGTGGCGCCTCCCTCCCCCATCTACCCCTCCTTCCTGCTGTCACTTCCAGTAGCTTGGAGACCAGGTGAGGGGTGGGCATGAGGGAGGGGCGTGCACAGCAGACCGAGGAACCGGGGAGATGTGCTACGGGGCCGCTCAAGCCCGTTACTTTCTGAGAACGCTGACTCAAGTTGCAAAATTTGTCTGCATCTGTTCGTGGAGATAATAATCCTCACCCTAATCGTACTACGTTTGTGAGGTTCAAACGAAGTGCAGTTTCTGAGCGCCCTGGCACTAAAGTGTATAAAGTAGAATGTCAGCTCCACACGAGCGGGGGCTCTTTTGTTCCTAATTATTTCCAGTGCAGGGTCCCTGGGGCAGAGAGATGTTCAGTAAACATTGCCTGATGAATAAGCTTTAGCCTGTCGTTGGGCTCAGGGGTGCTCTGACAAGGCGTCAAGTTTCCTTATCTTCCAGTCGGCCCCGTTAGCTCAGTTAGCTCAGATCACCTAGTGCAACTTCGTGGCCCTTGCGACTTAGGGTTTTGAGTGGATGTAGCGCGTGCGCAGGGGTGGGGGGTGACGTTAAAGCTTTTGGGATTGGGATTTAGCTCAGTTAATAGGGGAAGCCTATTGGCCGTACCTGGTGGCACAAACCTGTAATCCCAGCGCTCTGGGAGGCTGACGCAGGAGGATCACAAATTGGAGTCCAGTGTGGGCTATTGGAGAGAACTTATCTCAAAATTTACAAAAAAAATTTTTTTTTTTCTTTTAAAAGTCTGAGACTGTAGCTCAGTGCAAAAGCCCTGAACCTCGAGTTCAATCCCCAGCAGGGGTGGGGTGGGAGGGTCAGAAATGTACTTTTCTGCCAAATACAATAACAGTGTTCCGGTAATGCTGTAATGTGTTCCATGACTGTAAAAATGTTCAAGATGTTTCCTGTGGCATTCTCACAACAATCTCGTTAGATAGTACGTATTTATTTTACTGATCAGCCGGGCAGCATGGAGAAGGGGATTATGTAGGCTGCCAAGGTTATGTAGTGATAGAACTAACTTTGAAACGCAAATGAAAGGCGACCCAAGACAGCTGAAATACACACAGAAAAGAACAGAAGCGGTGATGATCTGTCACTGAGAAGAGAAAACTCTTAGGAGTTTTCAGGCTGAAGTTGTTTATTTCTTGAGTCGTTTTGTTTTCCTTTTAATGAAACATTCATTAGATGTAAGCTTTGTTTTTAAATTCCTAATATCTGCCTGTATAAAGCCACTCTAAGGTTTGGACGTTATAAAATAAAAGAAAGAAGGAAACTAAAGCAATGTGTCTATTCTTAAAGCAAAATAAAAAGTATAGGTGTTCTAAAACTATTTTAGATTTTCTAAATTACAAATGAAGACATAGTCTAGATATTAGATTCTACAACCAAGATTTACAAGTTAAATATGTGAACATGCACTTGGAAATTGGATTTTTACTAACAGCCTTTGTATTTGTCCAAATACAAATATTTTGTCTTTTCAATATTATAACGTGTGTATTCTTCAGGTCAAAAGAGACCTCTTTCTTCTGTTGAGGAACTACTGGGAAATATGTGTTTTTTCCCCATAGAATAAGTTCCGATGGTGACAATACAAAGATTTATAAAACATACTCCTACCTCTCCAGGATCTCACTGTCCAGTAAGGGGACTCATAGTACACAAATGCAGGACGATACAGTATGGCCTTCACGACAGTAAGCTAGGTGTAGAGATCCCCAAATATGGGGGTAGTGAAGGAAAAGCCAGGGAAGACTTTAGGAGAGAAAGATTTTAGAGAATAAATTTGGTCTGTAGACTAGAAGTCTCATTGCCATTTTCTTAGAGATTCTTGTAGTACATGGTTGATTTCAAACTCATGTATTTTACTACTAAAAGTGTATGATGTTTAAAACTTTAATGAACACCCTTTAATAGATATGGCAGTAATATCCCTTGGTAGTAGAGTAAACCCCTTTGTTGTGTATATATTTAAACATATTTTTCTCTTTCTGTTTTGAAACCTTTATATGATTTTTAGTTTTTTCAAAAATGGAACCCTGTTCCTGTGACACTTTTGTGGCATTACCTCCATCAACGATTGGTAACAGGATTATTTTTGGAAAAAATTCAGATAGACTCTGCAATGAAGTACAAGAAGTAGTTTATTTTCCTGCTGGAGTTCATAACTTGGGAAAACAGCTTAAGGTAGGTGAAATATATATACAGTACTTGTTATCAATATACTTCTCTAAAAATATCATTAGCAGTATTTTTATCATTAGGTAGAAATTTTTTAAAAAAGAAATTTGACAGAGATTGCAAAAGTTAAAATTCAAATTTAAACAGTAATTTCAATCAGAAGTAGACTTCTAGCTAATCTGTAATTTTAATGATTTGGAAGAAGTTGAATTAACAACAAATTGTTAATTGATCGAATATTTGAATATTTTTATGTGCAAACATATTAGATAGGGTAAGGCGTTTAAAGTTGACTATTAAGGGGCTGGGGATATGGCTTAGTGGCATAGCGCCTACCTGGCAAACGTGAGGTCCTGAGTTCGATTCCCAGCACGCACGCGCTCACGCGCGCGCGCGCGCGCGCACACACACACACACACACACACACACACACAAAAAAAAACCAAACCAAAAAAACAAAGTTAACCAGTAAGACTGGGTCTTGTCTTATAGGAGCTTAGAAACTAGTGTAGGAGTGGGCTATATATCCAGCTAACCCCGCTATAAAGCACTGTAAAGGAAATAAATGCTAAATCTAAGTAGAAGTAGCATGCTGTGGCAGCAGAGGATGAACACCTAATTCAATCTAGGGATCAAGGAAAGTGTCAAGGAGTTGGGGTTTCAGCTGGAATTTGATTGACAAAAAGGATTTTGATAGGTGTAGAATAAGGAAAGTTATTCCAGAGTCTGGAAATAAATTTTATGACTCATCAAAAAGGTTTACTATGCTCTAGAATAACACTATCAGTGTGCATTTTATGTAGTTACTTTATAGTATGCATATTAATTAAAGGATCACTGTTAAAATGCTTTTTAAAAACTCACTTAACATGAAAATTAAAGTAAGTTTCACGTTATCTTTTATTCATAAGTTACATACTTTTAAATTTTTTTTTTTTTTTTTTGGTTTTTTCTCTGGTATGGGAACCGAACTCATGACCTTGCGCTTGCCAGGCAGGCACTTTGCCTCTGAGCTAAATTCCCAGCCCCTTAAAATTTTTCACTCAATCATATTTTTTCTTTTACTGAGATGGTTTATTCATCTGGGATACCATTTTCATTTGATCTCTGTATATTTAAATTTAACCCATCTTGCAAAACAATGGCTCTTGTCCTTTTCACTGCTGTGGACAAACCTGGTAGGCCACATTCACATGAGCTATAGGCCTCCACAATGGTACTCATGTATTTAAGGACTGCCTGTGGTACTTACACCCTTCATCAGAAAACACTTGCACATTGAGGTCTGAGATCGGCTTCCGTAGTCTTGAACTCACATAATCATCTACAACAGTATAAGCTGTCATAACTAGAAACTTTTCTCCTGAGTTTCAATACATCTTCATATTTTCTATTCTTTCTGGCCCTTATACTTTATATTTTATTGTTTCTCAGTTAATGTAGAAGCCTTAGTGTCTTGAAAGTAAACTCTTCAGTTATCTTAGAAGATGCTCAGCAAATACTCGAATTAATGCTTTAAAGCCGATTTGGAATGATTTAGGGTTACTATTTTATTATTGAAAATTTATATTTGTTTCATTTATTTCTTTCATTATGGTTATATATTTGAATGTTGTATATTTTGGATTTGGATAAATTTTCCTTTTTCATTTTGTGGTTATTGTGTACTTTTCTTCTTACAGTGTACTTATATAGAAATTGAGCAAGCTCCGGAAACGTATGCTGTCGTCCTTAGTCGCCCAGCATGGTTGTGGGGGGCAGAAATGGGAGCCAATGAGCATGGCGTTTGCATTGGGAATGAAGCTGTGTGGGGAAGAGAGGAAGTCTGTAGTGAGGAAGCACTACTGGGCATGGACCTTGTCAGGTTATTCTTCTATTACAGTTTTTCACACAGAACTTTCTAAATTTTAGTGTAATCTCTCTCTCTCTCTCTTCTTCCTCTTCCTCTTCCTTCTTCCCCTCCCTCCCCTTCTTTCCCTCCTCTCCCCTTCCTTCCTTCCTTCCTTCCTCCCTCCTTTCCTTCCTTTCTTCCTCTTTTCTGCCCTTCCTTCATCCTTTCCTTTCTTCCTTCTTCCCTCCCTCCTTTCCTTCCTTCTTCCTGTCCTTCCTTCCTTCCTGTCCTTCCTTTTCCTGTCCTTTCTCCCTCCCTCCTTTCCTTCTTTCCTTCTTCCCTCCCTCCTTTCCTTCCTTCCTTCT